GCAGCAGCAGCAGCAGCCGCGATAATACCTCTAGATGGTTGCATGAGTCCTCGTCCTCGTCGTCCTCATCCTAGTTCTCGTCCTCCGCATCATCATCCGCGTCCTCGTCCTCCTCGTCCTCCTCGTGTTCCTCCTCCTTCTCCTCCTCATCCTCCTCTACCCCTCGCCCCCACGCGGCACCCAGGGATGGCCCGAAGAGGCCATCCGAAACCACCCCTTTGCTCGTTGTGTTTCCCAAATGTGTCCCTTCGCCACTTGTGCCGTCAGCTCTGCAGGGCAGGGTTCCTGAATAGAAAGCTGGGGATAGACAACGCGTAACGAATACTGTAGAATGATGGGATAGGCGAAGCGCGAATACGGATAATCATTATAGGATTGAAAACACACAAGCATATTATATTAATACTACATATCAGAATATGTACACGTATCACGGTGGGTCTAGTAGTAGTAGTAGTAGCAGTAGTAGTAGTAGTAGTAGTAGTAGTAGTAGTAGTAGTCGTAGTCGTAGTAGTAGTAGTAGTAGTAGTAGTAGTAGTAGTAGTAGTAGTAGTAGTAGTAGTAGTAGTAGTAGTAGTAGTAGTAGTAGTAGTAGTAGTAGTAGTAGTAGTAGTAGTAGTAGTAGTAGTAGTATGATAATGAATAATGTAGAAGTAGTACCGTAGAAGTAGTACTAGAAATAGTACTCGTAAGTAGTAGAGTAGTAGTACAGTAGCAGTAGTAGTAGTAGTAGTAGTAGTAGTAGTAGTAGTAGTAGTAGTAGTAGTAGTAGTAGTAGTAGTAGTAGTAGTAGTAGTAGTAGTAGTAGTAGTAGTAGTAGTAGTAGTAGTAGTAGTAGTAGTAGTAGTAGTAGTAGTAGTAGTAGTAGTAGTAGTAAGTAGTCGTAGTAGTAGTAGTAGTAGTAGTAGTAGTAGTAGTAGTAGTAGTAGTAGTAGTAGTAGTAGTAGTAGTAGTAGTAGTAGTAGTAGTAGTAGTAGTAGCACCTGGTCTTCGTGTCGCTACAAGCCTCACCTTCGTGTACTCTTCTTTTGTATCAGGCCTAATAGAACTCCTACCCGGGGAATTACGAAAACCGTAATTTCAAACCTGGCCTTCGTGTCTTTCGCGCCAGTGCCTACCTTCGTGCACTATTCGCTGTAGAGGCTGTAGGTTGGATTCGTATTAGAAATTGGACAAAAAACGACAGCTTTACACCTGTCCTTCGTGTCGACGTCGGATTTGGAGCAACCGCCACTGCCAGCCGCTTCATTTCGGCACAACCCTCTCGAGGATCGTGGGCCTGGCCCTCCGACGCGCGATTCCGGCGCGCACTTCACTAGGATCGTGGCCCTGATCCAAGTGGGAGCGCTGCCGAAGGCCCACCGACGTCCAATTCCGGCACGCCGCTCACGAGGATCGTGTCCTGGCCCACCTGGGAGCGCTGCCGACGGCCCACCGATGAGCAATATCGGCGCACCCCTCACACGGATCGTAGACCTCCCCACATTTAGATCGCCGCCCGACGCTGAAATTCGGCACACCTCTCACATGGATCGTGGCCCTGGCCCAATGTTGAGCGCTGCCGACGGCCCACCGACGCCCAATGCCGGAACACCCCTCACAAGGATCGTGGCCCTCTGGTCCACTTGAGAGTGGGTTTTCATAAGGACGTTCTTCTGGTTTTATTCGGGAAGGCATTTTGGATATATTCGTTTCTGGTTCGTGATGGTTAGGAGGAGGAGGAGGAGGAGGAGGAGGAGGAGGAGGAGGAGGAGGGGGAGGAGGGGGACGAGGGAGGAGGAGGAGAAGGAGGAAGGAGGAGAGAGGAGGAGGAGGAAGGAGGAGAGAGGAGATGAGGAGGAGGGAGCGAGGATGGAGGGGAGAGGAGAGGGGGGGGGGGGGGGGGGAGGAGGAGGATAGGAGGAGGAGGAGGAGGAGAGGAGGGGAGGAGAGGATGGAGGAGGAGGAGATGGGGAGGAGGGAGAGGATCTGAGGAAGGAGGAGGAGGAGGAGGAGGAGGAGGAGGAGGAGGAGAGGAGGGCGGAGGAGGGAGGAGGAGGGGGAGGAGAGAGGAGGGGCTAGCGAGGGAGGCGGAGGAAGAGGGTCAGGAGGAGGAGGAGGAGGAAGAGGAGGAGGAGGTGGGGGACGGGCAGGAGGAGGAGAAGGAGGAGGGAGGAGGAAGAGGAGGGGGAGGAGGAGGAGAAGGGGGAGGAGGAGGAGGAGGAAGAGGAAAGCGAACAGGAAAAGAGGAACACTGTTTCTCGTTTTCCACCATGGGTTTGCGAATATCACCTTCGTGTATTATTGGCTCTATAGCCCCTGCATTGTTTTCTTAAGAGCGAAAGGCGAAATTGTGGGTTTCCGAACCCCTTCTTCGTGTACTATTAGAATCAGTGGGCGTCCGAACCTCCTCTCCGTGTACGATTAGCTCTATAGCCCCTGTATTGTTTTCCTATCAGCGAATGGCGAAATTGTGGGTTTCCAAACTCCTGCTTCGTGTACGATTAAACTCCGACCATTATATGTTATTCTATTTGGTTTAAACTGATTGTGCGGAACCGAACCCGAACCCGAACCCGAACCCGAACCCGAACCCTTACCTATTCCTTCTTAGTAGACACGAAGATGAGGTTTGACCCTCGTAGTAGTAGTAGTAGTAATAGTGGTAGTAGTAGTAGTAGTAGTAGTAGTAGTAGCAGTAGCAGTAGCAGTAGCAGTAGCAGTAGTAGTAGTAGTAGTAGTAGCAATAGTATAGTAGTAGTAGTAGTGTAGTAGTAGTAGTACAGCAGCATAGATAGTTATAATTAGTAGTAGTAAGTAGTAGCAGTAGTAGTAGTAAGTAGTGATATAGTAGTACCAGTAATACTATTAGTACTCTACTACTACTAATACTACTACACTTACTACGGACTACTATTACTACAGTAGGTATAATAAGTAGTAGAGTAGTAGTAGTAGTAGTAGTAATAGTAGTATAGTAGTAAGTAGTAGTAAGCTAGTAGCATAGTAGTATTAGTAGTAGTAGTAGTAGCAGTATAAATGTACTGGGAGACTCTCTAAGTAGTATTAGGACTAGTATATCAGTCGAGTCTAGTCGTAAGTAGTAGTAGTAGTAGTAAGTATAGTATTAGTAAGTAGTATAGTAGTAGCGATAGTCGTAGTAGTAGTAGTAGCAGCAGCAGTAGTAGTAGTAGTAGCAGTAGTAGTAGTAGTAGTAGTAGTAGTAGTAGCACCAGTACTACTACTACTACTACTACTACTACTAGTAGTAGTAGTAGTAGTAGTAGTAGCAGTAGTAGTAGTAGCAGTAATAGTACTAGTAGTAGTAGGACTAGTCGTAGCAGTCGTAGTCGTAGTCGTAGTAGTAGTAGTAGTAGTAGTAGTAGTAGTAACAATAGTGGCACTAATATAAAACAACGTTTGTATGGAATACGGAAAATCATAGGAAGAAGCATGCATTACATAATAGGCAGTTACACACAAAACTATCATAATACTTGCCATCTGCATCATCATCATCGGCAACATCATCGTCGTCATCATCACCACCAACAGCATCATCATCACCATCGTTATCATCATGAGCATCATCATCATCATCATCATCAGCAGCAGCATCATAATCATGAGTGTAATCATCGTATTCGTCATCATCAGCAGCATCAGCAGCATCATCAGCATGAGCAACATCATCATACTCGCCATTATCGTCATCGTCATCATCATCAGCATCATCATCATCACCATCATCAGCTTAATCAACATCATCAAAACCATCATCATCGTCGTCCAAATCATCGTCATTATTATCAGCATCATCAGCATCATCATCATCAGCAGCACCACCATCATCATCATCATCATCATCATCCTGATCATGGTCATAGGCATCATCATCGTCAGCATCATCATCATCCGCATCATCACCATCACCATGATCATCATCATCACCACACCACCACCATCATCACCAGCATCATCAGCATAATCAGCATCATCATCGTCATCATCATCAAAATCATCTTCATCATCATCACCATCATAATCATCAACATCATCACCATTGTCCTCAGCAACATCATCATCATAATGATAATGATACTATCAGAATGCCGGTAATATTAAACATTCGTCATGATGGAACTAAGAATAGTATTATTGAAACAACGAATAATATCCTCGGATGTATTGTGGGGAGAAGTTTTGCCCCGCCACGCCCGCATTCAAACCCTGGGGGGGGACTCTCCGCAAGCTTGGCCGAACGTGAAGCTGCTGCACATCCGATTCATCTTCAATCTGGCACCGCCGCTCTCCAATCCAAGACAGTGGTCCCACTACCTTTTTCACCTGCTCGTCCTCGTCCTCCTCGTCCTCCTCGTCTTCCTCGTCCTCGTCCTCGACCTCCTCGTCCTCGGTCTCCCCCTCCTCCTCCTCCTCCTCCTCCCCCTCCTCCTCCTCCTCCTCCTCCTCCTCCTCCTCCTCCTCTTCCTCCTCCTCCTCCCTCAGGCATGCTTCAGAATTAGCTCCGGGAAAGAGACTGCCACCGCTGCCACGAGAAAAACCATAATCTGGAACATGCTTATCACTCCTCCTCGCGCCTCCATACCTTCTCCCCCTCCTACTCTCCCCTACGCGTTATCCTCCTCGTCGCGGTCGTCCTCCTCTTTCGCCTGCGACGATCACGACGACGACCCGTGCGACGATCGGGAGGACGACCTTCTTAGCCCCTTGGGGACGAGAGCGAGAGAGACACAGAGGACGAGAGAGAGAGAGAGAAGGGCAGCAGGAAAAGATACTGTCGCACCTAGGACAGAAGAACATCCGTCGTGATTCTGAGACTCTCCGCGGGCCAAACGGCACAGAACATCCAAGGGTAAGTGCCCCTCCCCAGGGTGCACAAGAACATGCAACAAACGCGACGAGCATTACTGCAACCTTCCCGAGCCGACCTAAATCTTGATGCCTGGGCCCGACTGTAAGGAGGGAGAGAGAGAGAGAGAAGAACAAAGCAAAACGCACACCTTGCCCAGGGGGTCCACCTGGGCGGCCCGCGCCAGGTCGGCCAGGGCCTCCCGCGCCGAGCCCGCTGGGAGGGGCGAGCTCTTCGCCTCTTGGCTTAGGTCGGGAATGTTCCCCTACAGGCGAATGTGGGACGAAAAATTCAAACATCGCCCCCAGGCTATTTGTTGTACTATTTTCAAATGTTCCCCCTGTAGAGGGACAGGCCCGACTGAAGGTGAGCTCTTCGCCCCTTGGCACCCCCGGAGCGCACGCGCGCCCTCCTCGCGGCGAGCGCGTGCGAAGGGGGCGCGGAGCGCGCGGGGCGCGGCGCACCCGGGGAGGGCGGGGAAATAAAAAATCGAAAAAAAAAAAACAATAAAAGAAAAGAAAAAAAAAAAATGAAAAAGAAAAAAAGCATCTCGCTCGGAGGGGATCCCCCGGTGGGCTGCTGACCCGCGTCCCACACAGGGGTAGGAGTAGGGAGGAGTTAGATGAGGAGGAGGAGGACTATGAGGAAGGGAGGAGGAGGAGGGAGGAGGGAGGAGGAAGGGAAGGAGGAGGAGGAGTAGGGAGGGAGGAGATGGAGGAGGAGGAAGAGGAGGTGAAGGAGGAGGAGAGGGAGGAGGAGGAGGAGGAGGAGGAGGAGGAAGAGGAGGAGGAGGATGAGGAGTAGGAGGAGGAGGCTGGGGCGACGCCGAAGATCCAGAGGCGCGCACACAGGGATTTAGCGATCCCATGGACTTGGCGCGCGGTCGCCAGAAAAACACGGATCGGGGGAGAGGTGCCCTCCCCAAAAAAGCGGCCGGTGCCGCCCCGTGCGGAGGCGGGACTCCGCGGTTCCCCAGGGGAGCGGGGCCCGTCGCCAATCCACGCCCCCTTGATCCATGCTTGCGATCGCCCGAAAGAAGAGGGGGGGGCAGGAGGAGGGGGGCCTGCGCATCGCGGCCCGAGGACCGTGCGCGGAAGCTGACTACCTACCAGACCACCCCAACCCAACCCGAAGACCCGAATCTGACCCGAATTTCGGGTTGGGGGGGTACGGATTCCATGTGTTTTTCCATGTTCCCCGACCCCCCCCACTGGAAATCGAGGATAAATTTGGGCCTCTGGGTGGGTTGGGGTGGTTTGGTGGGTGATGAGAAGCGCGGTGGAGGGCCAGGGACCGGGTTGTGAAAGGGGAAGAGGGGGCAACGGAATCTGAAAGGGTTCATGGTCCCAGCCCTGAAATCTGCCGACCGTGTCAGCGTGTGCGTGTGAGGGGGGCTTGTCTGTTCGAGTCGTCCTCTCCGGCAGTCGTCGTCTCCGTCGTCCCCTTTCCCTGCACCCCCCTCCCCAAGCTTGTCAACGAGAACAAAATCTAGCGATGTCGTGATCGAGCCGAAGGGAAGCCCCTTCCCCGTCGGGGGAGTCCCGTCGGGGGAGGGAGTCCAGGGGGTGGGTCCCCGGGGGGGGGGGGAGTCCCGGGGGGGGGTCCCCGGGGTGGGTCCCTGGGGTGGGTCCTGGGGGGGGGGTCCCAGGGGGCGGGGGTCACATACGCCATCCCCCTGGGGGCCCCGAGGCCTCAGCAAGTACCAAGACAGGCCAAGAGTACCCCAAGAGGCCGCCGAGACGCTCAAATAGGATCCCCAATCGCCAAACGATCGGTCCAGACTGCTCAGGAGGCTTCCAGGACGCCCCAAGACGCCTCCGAGAGCACCCCCGAGAGGCCCAAGAGGCCAAATTCATTGATTTTGTTTTTATCAGATTTGGGCGTTCTCGCCTTTTCCTCTTCCCGCCGCTCCACAACGGCGCAAGGGGCCCCCAAGATCGCCCCAAGACGGCCCAAGAGGCCTCCAAGAGGACCCCCAAACATACCAAAATGACCCCAAGACAGCTCAAAACGCCTCCAAGACTGCCAAAAAGGGCACCTAGAGCGTGCCCGAGCCCTCGGCCCCAAGAGGCTTGCAGGAGGCCCCAAGAGGTTCCCAAGAGGCCCCAAGAGGCCCACAAGAGGTCCCCGGGAGGCCCGAAGAAGGCGTTCCTTTATGTTCGGCGATGACGGGCGTCATGGGGGCGGGGGGGGAGGGCGGGGGGGGTATGACGTGACGCCCCCCCCGCCGTGTGGCTCCGGCACCACAGCCGCGCCCGCGCGCACGACGCGACGAGCGACGAGCGACGAGCGACGACGACGACGCGAGCAGCATGTAAGCGGCGATCTGCCCATTGCGCCTGTGTACACCACAACGCTCGCGTGCACCACACCGCGCACGTGCACCCCAGCGCCTGCGTACACCGCAACAGCCGTGTGCAACGCACCGCCCGTGTATACCACAATGCTTGGGAGCACTACAGCGCGGGTGCACATACACCGCAGCAGCCATGTGCAACACAACGCCTGTGTACACCACAGTGCTTGCGTGCACCGCAGCGCCTGTGCACGCCACAGCGCCTGTCTACACCACAGCATCCGCGTGCAACACAGCGCTGGTGTACACCACAATACCTGCGTGCTTAGGACAGGTAGAAGGAGCATGTACGTTCGAATGCGACGTTTTGCACTCCTCCTTCCTCCTCCTCCTCCTCCTCCTCCTCCTCCACCTCCTCCTCCTCCTCCTCGTCCTCCTTTTCCTCCTTCTTACCCCCTGTCGCGCGGCTTGGCGTTACAACGCACGTGCGCATCTCAGCATGCACCGCAGAATGGTCGATTGAATCGGTCCACTTGGTTCTCGACGGCCAGTTTAGCTTGAGCCTCCTGGACGCAAATAGGAGTTAGGGTGATGCGGGCGGACTCGGGGGGACTCCTAGATTCCAGCGGCGCTTCCTTGTCCATGAGGATTTGTTTTCCATCGTTTTCTGGAATCCACACGCGCTCCATTTGTCACAAGGATTCCTTCTGAATTTCTATACACAACAATGGTGCTGTGTTGCACACGGCTGATGTGGTGCACACAGGCGCCGTGGCGTACACAGGCACTGCAATGCACGCGCGCATTGTGGTGTACACTGGTGCTGCGTTGCGCACGGCTGATGTGGTGTGCGGAAGCGCTGTGGTGTACACAAGTGCTGCTGTGCCCGCAGGCACGGTGACACAAACTGACGCTGTGTTGCACGCGGTTGCTGTGGTGACTTCGGCGGCGTGGTGTACACAGGCGCTGTGGTGCACGCGGGCACTGTGATGTACACAGGCAATGTGGTGCATATCGCCACCTACATGTTCGTGCGACCCGTCCTCCGTCATGCCAAACCATTCCCAAACGCCGCCGGCGCGAAACGTGACGTCATCGACCCCCTCCCCCCCAAATGATTGCCGTCATCGGCCCGGACTGAAAAACAGGTTCCAGCCGCGTCCGCGCGCACGACGACGATGAGCGACGAGCGACGAACCACGAGCGACGACGACGAACGACGACGACGACGACGACGACGACGACGACGACGACGACGATGACGCCTGCGGACCAAACACCTATGCGGATTCCTACGCGGACACCTACGCGGATCCCAAAGCGCACGGCGGCAGTGCCCTGAGCGCACTGGGGGGGGGGAGCGTTACGTCATAGGGGGGGGGAGCGGGGGCCATGACGCCCGTCATGCCCCAAGCAATAATAAAAAAAATTGCCTCGAAGAGGCCCCGAAGAGGCCCCCAAGAGGCCCCCGAGAGGCGCCAAAGAGGCACAACTATTCCTCCCCAGAGGCCCCCGAAAGACTTCCGAAGAGACCCCAAGAACCATCCCTGAGGACTCTGGCCCACGTCAGCGTCGTCGTCGTCGTCGTCGTCCTTCAGGGTTGGTGGCGCCGGCCGCAGAGCCTTCGCAATCCACGCAAATATAAATACATCCCCCGCAATTGCGGATAACAGTTCGGGGGCGGCGGGGTCGTCGGCAGTCTGCGAGGCCCTACGGTGCCTGGACAAAAAGTGTCCACACCCAGGGCGGCAAGACACTGCGACGTGATAACAACCGCAACAGCATGATGCACTTGCCTCGCACCCCTCCCCCCCAAAACCCAAAGTTGAAGTGTCCACATTTTGTCCCTGGCGCGCGGCCTGCCGCCTAACCCCGCCAACTTTGAGTTGGGGGAAAGGGGGGTATACATTTTCGTCCGACGTGATTTGACGACGAGTTGTCTTGGCGCGACAAGTGTGGACACTTTTTGTCCGCCCGCCGTAGGGAAGCTCAGTTTGCGCCGACGTGCAGATCGCACAGCGAACCCGCCGCGGAGGCCGAACTTCCATCAGAGCAATGTGGGTGGGTCGCGGGTGGACCACAGGCGGACCGCAGGTGGGTCGAGGGGTGGGTCGCGGGGTGCGTCGCGGAAGGGTCGCGGGCGGGTCGCGGGCAAGGGCTACGACAAGAACAAAAATCACTGCAAGACCGCTCATTATCCCGAACCCTCGACACATCCTTTTCTTCTTCGGACGTACCCCCTGGGGGGTACATCTTCCCTCTCTGCCGCGCGTAGTTGGCGCACCCCCTAAAACAGGTCAAGGACGGGAGGAAGGAAGGGAGGGAGCTTGATGGAGCACGAGAGAAAGTTCCAGGAGAATTGGGGACAAGAGCACGAGCACCAGAACCACATGGGCGGGTCGGGCGGGCGGGGCCCAACGGGCAGGTCAGGCGGGCGGGCCCAGACGGCCAGGTCGAGCGGGCGGGTCGCTGAAGTGCCAATCCATCACGACGGAAAGGTCGGACGATAGCGCGATTCCCATGTAGGCCAAGCCTGGCGCATAGACGGCGCATTGGCAAAATTGAACATTATGCGCGTGACCGGAAAAAACACCAGCAACAGCCCCGGGCTGGGACCGGGCAGAGGCATGCGGGCACTGAGAGCGATGCGAATACACATGCAAACGTATCGGCGCCACGCTGGGGGAAGGGGTTGGAGGGGAGGGGGCGAGGAGAGGGAAAAACTGGCGGAAAAGAGAGGGGCAACATAAACGCCAGCACGTAAAGCGAATGTGTCGGTTGAGGACTATACACGCAAGAGGCCCACTGCTGTTCAGGCCTTCCCCTGCGTCGCCAAGGCGCCCATTTTCTGGGCAGGTCGGTGCCAAGCTGGCAAGTTAAAAATATGAGAGGTTCGCCTCTGG